AAACCTTTGATGCGCAAACAAAGCCTTTTGCGTCTGGAATCTTTGGCCACATATACTGCCGTCCACACGGAGTAATTCACACACATGCCCATCTGCAAACTCGGTACGTGCAACAGCGGGACTCTGAGTTGTGCCGTCGGTGAAGCCAGGCGGCGGGATTTGAACAGATATGGACTTTGCCCTGAGCTCCGAAACATCTACAGCGCAAAATGCTTCACGAAGCACAGCGTCATGCAGTAGGTGTGCAGGGTTGTCTTTGACACTGTTAGATATCCATGCAGCCTCCTCGATCTGCGAGAGGTCACTGAGATCACTCCGTAGTTGTACAAGCCACGGATGGTCCGAAAGTGTTTTCTCGAAAGGGAACTGACCAAACATCGCAGCAAACATTTGATGATGCTCGCGGGGTTTCGCAAGCATGGTTTGAAGCCATCGAAGCCGTGCGACTACAAGCTCGATGCCAACTGAGGCCACGCGAGCCCGAACGTGAACCTGTTGATTGGTTAGTGAACGGTATCTGGTGTTTCCATCCTCTAGCTGCTGTTTAGAACAAGCTTGTCCTTGGAGAAGTTTGCGAAGCAACCCCACCAGGAAAGAGTCCATCTTGTTGATGAAGTGGTCGTTGACGTACCAAGCCACCAATCCCGATAAGAGAGTTTGAACCACCACGCATCTGAAAACCAACAATTTGAAACGCATATCAATCCGCTTGAACCAGAACCCACGAAAATCGTACCATGCACGTCTAGCAGCGTCAATGCGTCGTTGACATTCAGGAGCAAAAGAACAGTCCCAATGCAAAAATGGCCCCAGGTAGCGAGCTTCTTTTTTGCAGCCTGGCACCAGTTGACCATAGAGAAAAGCTTCACGAGTAAGCTTGTGAGCTCCTGGGCCTCGAAGGTTAAGCAAGGCTTCAGCTTTGGATATATTCTGAACCATTGAAAGCCGATCTAGCGCACCATCCAAGCGGGCAGCAGAGTCTTCTACTTTTTGGACCACGGAGCCCACAGCGAACAGCACCTCAATGTCCACGGCAGCTCCTCCAAGCCGGAAGACATCCGGCCAACGTCTCCTGCCCCGGAACCTTTGATATGCCCGACCAGCCAAAAGCGCGACCTTTGCCCCCTGCAGCAGGAGGTCCGTGATGTTGCTCTCATTCCGGGAATCCCAACACTGGTCGGCCAGCTGCGCGTCCAGGGGGCCATTCTGGTGAGCCTCAAACGCCAGCAGTAGGGAACCTATCCAGTTGTCCCCATCCTGTAAGCACCCTCGGCTGATCGCCATGGTCAGTCGGCTGTGGCCTATACAGAAGACCCCACTGGCTGATCACCGTGGGGCAAATTGGCCTACCCTCCCTGTGGGAGGGGTAGGCACCGGTGGTATATTGCATGTTTCGGTTACTACAACAGTCAAACTTCGGCCGCTGCAGCATTTCGAGTAGACCGCCCGTTCTTGGAATGTCTGCCAAGAGTGCTGCGAGCATGCAAACATCCAACCTGCAGGCTGCCAACTTATTCAGATGATTGCGTGATGGTGATTTTGACCTCTGGCACACAATCGCATTTTGCGATTCCCCCACACGACTTGGTGCTGCATTGGCTCTGAACAGGGACTACATCGACGAGCTTGAGTACTGAGCGCGTGGGGTCTTCTTAGTAGTTTCGCCGCCCTCTCTTGGTTTTTTGGTTGGTTCTGGTGTTGCTGCTTGGTTGGCTGGGTTGTTTCTTCTCTTTGGTTCTGTAGTTTCTTTCTGGCGACTTGTTTCACACCTAGTTGCGAGACCCACAAGACCGGCCTACTGTGCTACTGATGTAGTAAAGAGGCGTCCGCTTTTTTTTAAGCGCCTTTTGATAAAATAACAACCAACGAACGCTTTTGTTTCGGCAGAAAGAACGACTGGTCATGTTTCTGGGTTTTGGGATTACTCTTCAAGCCGAATTTGCCGACCACGGCGAAAATTGCTACGCACAGCCATTACGATATGAAACCCTTCACAACCACGATTTGAAAACGTGTGTTGGCGATTCATCGGCAGCGGCTAGCTAACAGGCAGGTTAGACACTGCTTTGGCACGCACAAGTTTCCTCCAACTCAGCATGGAGATGAGGTTTCACGCTTTCCCCCGAATCAAGCTTGTTTGGCATCAAAAAGCGACATGTCTCCTTGAGACCAACGCCGCGAGGTGTACACATTAAACTGGTGTTTTTGGGGGATGCTTTTGAAAACCAAAACCTGTTATCAAATTGGTGCCGCTTTGAGAGGGCTTCCACAGTAATTTTCGATTTCTTTTGATTCGGTCGGGGCAACACCGCCCGCTTGATGAATTCTTACAAGATCAATGTTCAATGTGATTTCCGGTCTGAAATATCACTCAACACAACAATCACAGGCCAAAGCAAGCTGTGCATCAATCATTTTGAGTCTCCAATGTTTTGCACCTTGACCCAAATGGTGTCAGAACGTCAATGCAATGTCTCGTGCATCAATGTGGATGCCAAGCAGATCTGATCAACATCTCTAACACGGTCCTTGGCTCAGCAATTCTTGCTGTGCCACATCACAATCAGATCTGGAATCAATTGAACCATAGGGAGGAAAAAATCGAGCTTTCGACGAAGTACAGAAACAGTAAACTCACGGTGCACTGTGCAATCAGCTTTGGACTGCTTCAATGCACCCGAATCAATACATGATCCTGAAAAACGTTCAGCAAAGCTGCCAATCGACTCGCCGCAACTGTAAAAGCAATTGTAAAGCATCAACTGCAACCAATCATACAAACAGAAAGCCATCCACGTGCAGTGTCATCTTTCCATGGCAATCAAAATTGTGCTGAATGAATGCTGAGTCGCCAATCGATCGTCACCTTGATCCTTTCGGAACAATGACGGTGATTCCATCATGACCGGGCAATGTTCCATCTTCTGGCTGCTCAATCTGCAAATCTTCCTTGGTCAATTCCGACATGTCGTCACCAATCTGTGTCAACATGCCACAGAATGGCTTCGTGCAGGCCAATGAATCCATAGCGGATGCCGAAGCTACTCGGCTCGCTCAGCAATCCATCCTCGCACACCGCCCAGCCAATGGCGCCAATTGCGGCATTCAATGACACCAGGCGGGCTGCATCATGCTGCGGCGCAGGGAGGTTCAATGTCGGGTCTTCAATTCCAAGTCCCAACGTCGTAGCAGCAATGTAGCTTTGGTTGCACCAATTGCAAAGCCACCTCTTCCATCAGCTTGCTTCAAGACCGGGCGAAGGCTCGCTGACAATGGGCGAATGAACACGAGACCCACAATCTCGATGAGCTGTTCGTTCAAATAGGAGTTCCTCACTCCATGTGCGTGCCAATTTGCCAATGGAAATCCCAATGGTGAGCGAAGGGTTGCACTGTCCCATCGGCAGGTATCAGTGAGATGCAATGACAGATCTGCCATAGCCAAACCATGCCAAACCAATGGCAAGCAATAGGCGAAATAAAGCTCAGACAATCCAGTGGTGTCCATGTCGTGCAGTGGTGCGTGCGCAATCGGACAACGCGAAACCAAAATCATGATCCAATCATAATGCGGAATTGCCTGGAAGTACATCGTTGAACGAAAAGTAATCCCTGTTGAACTGCAATGTTGCAGCTCGAATCTCATTCTCAATCAAGTGTTTCACGTACAATGAGCTAGCGGACCACTGATCGCTCCAGACGACAACGAAGCAATGATCCAGCTGGAGAATGTCTGTGGGGTGCTGGTGGCGCAGTTGCAACTCGATCTCATCGGTTGGCGACAACCAGCCAATGAGAATCATGAGCACGGCATTCAATGAAAACATAGGGAGAGCACAGGCCAATCGACAATACGACCGTTCCCATAATGCGCTGCAATGCTGTCATCCTGCGCGGAATTTCCTCAGTGCGGTTCGTGGCAATCCTGCCCAGCTCGGGATGCAATCCCACACCGTAGTCCGCCACAATGAGTGGCAGTTCAAGACAGGTTCATAAGGTTTCGTTTTTCAATCGTTGTGGCCTTCGTTTGTGCAATGCAAAATGCGAAGCACATAAAATCAAATGACGCAAGAGTCATACATACACAATGACATGACCGCATTTGCTGCACTGAATGCACACTCTCAATGCAATGAGTGCACATGTGGCACAATCTTTCAATCCGGAAGCTCCAGCCTGATCACTGAGACAAAGGCCCGATATGGCCGATATGAGCTTTCCAACTACGATAGCCACATCTGAAGAAGATAAAACTTTGCAGAAAGAGCGCAGTACCATTGCAGTACCTCTAGGTGGTACCTCCTATTCAAAACAAACTGGAGATCGTGGACCCTCGACTGGAAACCCCGGTCAATTCTCAAACTCCTCTTCGGCAGCTCGAGAAGGAGAAGAATATGCTTCATAGACTCATAAATGTTCATAGTTATACGTAAGAAAAAGAGATGCTGTGGCGGCACTGCCGGCATTTTCAGTGCTAGATTGCTTGAGCTTGCAAAATCTGGCTTGTGCAAGTTCGGGTACAACTCTTAAGCTTCAGTGAAGCGCCTGGCGGATGTCAAACTTTCTAATTTCCTTCCTGTTTATCTGCTTTTCCTCTATTCCCGCCACTAAATCGCTGTCGTCCTCGCATGACCAGTAGACCTTTCAAGGTTTTGCGGCAACAAATTAGCCCTAAATTTTGGTTGACGCGTTGTTGTCTGGCAATGCTTGGGTGAGGAGGCCCTTGGCTTCAAAAGCAGCTTCAATGTAGCTTGTTTGGCAGAACCTGCCAGCCGACAAGCAATGTTTCTTTCTCACACAGACGCTGGTATGATGCTGCTCAGCGGAGCCAGTCTTCAATCAGCTCCTGGGCTTTTGAGGGGGTCGGATGTTGTTGAGATTTGAAGGCTTTTGGAAGGTGAAGCCGCAAGGTCCCTGTCTTGGACGTTTAGGCTTGTTTGCGGAGCCCAGGTCCTTCAGATCATCCCTTTCGTCATTGCATTGCCGGTGGTGTTGTTCAGCATGCTTATGGTGCAGGTGCTTTCAAGGAAGCATGTGCGAGAAGCACCCAAAAGCCTTCTCAGACCCATGTCCTTGGATACAGAGCATGACCCAGAACGTAAAGAGGATGTGCTCGTTGTCCTGACCTGCTTTCGGGAGTCGAAAGAGGAGCTCGCACACAGCGTCAGCACACTCAGTGGCACCCAGGCTGCCCGCTTGATGGTGTTTGTGGATGGTTTGCAGAATGTCAGCGTGGACACGATCACAAAGATGGCAGGGTCAGCCCGAGGTGACCTTGAGAGTGCAAACAATGACTCCTCAGATGAGAATCAGCCTCAGAAGGATGAGACGCCCGTGCCAAAGGATGTGGCGACATTGGCGTCTCTTTTGGCCCTGTTGCCTTCGGGCTGCGTGCTGCGAGAGCACGGCTGCGTGTGCATCCGTGGTGAGATTGAGGAAGGCGTTCCTTACGAGATGTACGTCAAAGGCCCAGACTGGCCCCAGTCAAAGCGTGCTAGTCACGCGTTGTGCATGTCTATTCTACATGCCGATTCTGATTGTGGCCGCCCCAACCCCAAAGCTGTTCTTTTCTTGGACGGCGACTGCCGTGTCGAGCCCACGCACCTGGGTGAGATGTTCAGATGCTTGAGACTTGGATTGCAAGAAGGCTTTTGAAGATGTTGAGATTGCTAGGACCTGACCAGTCAAATGACGAGCCGTCTTCCAGGTATCTCGGTACACATGTCAGCCAAGGCAAGAGCAGGACTTGGCGGCGTGTGGTCCTTGGCCAGTGCCGGAAAAGGTTCATAGTTTCTGCCTGCTGGCACAGGCCGTGCGAGATGTTATCACGCATCCTTTGGGCTGGATGGGCCAGAATCCCGCGTGTGATATTAGCAGTAGCAACAGTATTGAGAGGAGTCATCGTCGTCCTATCCAGAACAGATAGCACGTAAGCTTTTGAATCAGGAACACAACGATGGCGAGGCATTCAGATTTGGGTCCGGGCCACTTCTAGGTTTCCAAGCGCTAAGCCACTAAGCTGTTCGTGCTTGTAACCAAAACCGGAAACCTTTTGGCGAAGAACTGAGGAGCGCAATGCGGTTTGTGTTTCCGTTGAGGGGCTCCTGCGCGATGTATTCCATCGAGGCGGTGAGGGCAGTGCAGTCCGACTATTGCGATGGCGTCCGTGAAGAATCGGTGCTCGATTCGATGATGATTGAGAATGGAGAGGATGCTTCCTTTACAACTGCACGATAGGAGGTTGAGGCTTATGTAGCTTTTGTATGTGTAAGTGGCTGGTTTGGGGCAATTTTCATCTATGTCTCAGGTGGGTAGCATATTTGACAGAGAAGGATAGCTATATGACGAACCTGGTCCACGAAAAATGCCCGGCGAATGGCATTCGGTTCCTTCCCCACTGCAGTGAAACTTGGCTGGCAAGTAGGGACTCTTCGTCATGTTGGGAGCAGCAGGCAGTGGGATTCCTTTGTCTTTGCGTGGTTTGTTTTTAGTGTGGAGAAAAGCAGCTGTCCGCCTCTAAGTGCAGCGCATAGAAAGCCCGTCAACCATGACAGTCCAGTTGCGACACTACTCATAGACCGAAGGCCCAGGCACCCAACACTGCATTGACTGCATCCATCACATTGGTCAGAACATACCCTCAGGACCGTTTGTTGCGAGCCGCACCAAGGCAACTTCTTTCATGCCAGAAACTTGGAGCGAGTACCTTGCGCAGCTCGGGCTCTGGCAGTTGCGCCGCCGATTGTTTCTGACACCTTTTCTTGTGACCCTGCACCACCTGTGCTAGCTGCGGCCGTTAGTTGGTCTAACATCCCAGATGGGGCCTGGAATCAGGAGTCGGGCCATATCCCCCTTTAGGAAGCCTCGGGTTTGATTACTTTGGATTGGGTCTCCTTCCCAGCCCGTGGGATCGCACTTCAGACTTGGTCCTCGTGTGCTAACCTTGGGATGGGCCTACAGAAACTAACTGGAATCCCAGGCAGCAATGTCGTTGGAAGCGGTCCTTCCTCGGCAATCGGGCGATGCTGTGTTTTGGGAAGCCGCTCAGAAGCTTAATGTTTGAGTTCATGGACTGCCAGCAAATCCAACAGGTTCCAAGGCTAAACTTTGCGAGGGGAGATGCATGTGGTCCAAAAGCAAAGTCCCAAAGCATCAGTTTCGGGGATGGTACGTGTGTCTGTGCGGGTGTATACGGCAAGCAATGCAGCTAGGATGTTTGGGGTTGGAGCCTTCTTCAAGGTCTGACGCAAGACTGTATCTGCTGCTTGAGGCCGGGGTCCTGCACTCCGGATCCGCTATGTCGAACATTCGCCCTAACAATACGCTAATACGCCCCATTCTGGCGCCATGATCAGAACATTCAGGGCCGGGTGCTCGGGGTCTTCTGTTCTGTGGAAGAGGGGCTGCTTCCGTCATGGGCATCGAGACTTATAAAGGAAATTCAGAGCTTGTCCAAGTGGCCGGCCTGCAAAAGCCCCCCGCCTCCGGGCCTCGTTCCCTATGTTCCAGTCTTGCCCTCAACTCTGCCCAACCCAGACAAGAGAGACTCAGGGTGTGTGAGGTGGCTTGCAGCAGAATCCTTTGTTTCAGAGTTTCAGCCCACATTGAAAAAAATAAGATGCATGCCTGTACGCGCCCCCTGTTGCCCTTCCCAGCCTGAGGCCAAGCGTGTGGTTATGGCCGCCATCCCGCTGGCTCCTTTGGCCCTTGTGCGCTGGGCCTTGAGCAAAGCGTTACCTCAATCTGGGAGAGTGAGAGTTCAATTCGTTGGCTAGTCAAGCAAGCTTGGACCCAAGAGTTAGGCATCTCCCTGGCAAAGGTCATCAGTCTGGTTCCACGGGGTAGCTTGTGCCCCGAAACTACTGTAGAGCCCGTGTCCTTACAAATCAGGCTCAGGTCTTGTCAGGCTGCATGGTCATGATACGGCACCTTTTCTGGTTATGCTGAACCCGTTGCAACTGTAAGCCCGATTTTGACAAACAGAGGCGCATTGTAGGTGCCGAATCTCGCCAGTGCTCCGTGTTCACCCCATTCGCACGTGACTCATACTTTTCAGCATGGTGTTTTGATGTCGGGCTGGGCGTATGACATGCCTTTGGCAGGTACGTCAGCTCGCTCTTCTGGACACCTCCCCTGGCAGCCGCCACATTGACACTCTGGTTCTCCGTCTCAGTGGGAACAGTCCTTGAGCACCACCCGCAGGTGTGTCTGCATCACAAATGCATGCGCATCATGATGTGGAGGCTATGCTGAAGACAGTTTCGACAGAAGGACCCAGGCTGTAGGAGCCCAGCATAGTAGGCGACATGAGTACGTAGCAGCAAGCCTGCCAGAGAGCAAGAACGCCTTTCAAGACCGAAGCAACCAGCTGTTAAGCACTGGTCTGAAGGCTTCCGTGTTAGCTTGAAGTCCATGCAGGTGGTGGCAGGCATCGTTGGCCCCTTTCTCGATCCCTTGGGCATCCCCTTTCCTGAGTCTCTTCCGGCAGGCTGACTCGGAATCCAAACAGCTTATGTGTTTTGTACATGTTGACTTGTCCCACGTCGCCCTTTGTTCTTGGAGCAACTATCGCATGTCAGTACTGGTTGACTGAATGGTGCCTAGTCTCGTTGGGGTCATGACGGGTGGGTTCGAGTGTAGGTACACAGCATGCGTTCCAGTTCCGGTAGAGGTGAGGGTTCGCGTTTCAGAACCTGCTGCTACTTTCGTACGGATTATTTCGAGGCAGTCTTCGGGGCATGAAACCTCAGTGTGGCATTCGTTTGATAGATTCTTCCTTCAGATGCTTCAGATCGAAGTATCGGCTGAAACGGCTTGCGTGTGTCCTTGGGTGTAGCACGCTTCGTTGTAGCGAGTCCACGATGTAGCATCCTGTAGCCTCAGCAGCTTCAGTTGTTTTGGGATACTTGGCAAGACTCTTAGCCAGCTCATTATCGGGAATTGCAAGAAGGAGGCCCTTCTGCTGCCGGCTCGCATGGTTAGTGTATTTCGGCATCGCCCGGCCAACAACACCAAGGGGGGGCAGGGTACGATAGATGTTCTTCAGCCAGGATTCGGGCCAACTTGTTTTTTTTTGAATGGGGAGGGTGGGAACCTCCTGCCTGGCCAGGCTTGCACGCTGCTTTGTGGACGGTGTTGCTGGGAGCATTAAGCTAGATTGTCTTGTGTCACGAAACGGATTAAACGAGCAGCGAAACATCCTTACCGAGAACTACACAGCTTCCTTGATTCGTGGGATGTAGTCCCGTAACAAACAAGCGAAGCTGGTTTGGCGGCGCCTGGACATGTACTCTCATTGGGGTAGGGGGGTCCTGCCCTCGGCGCCCCACTTTACATCAAAACGAAAATGCATTCCTAGATACCAAGAAGCAGAACTCGAAGGCCTCCACCTCTACTCAGGCTCAGCATCTATGCTTTCGTCGCCGCTGGCACCTCGGTAGCTGCAAAGCGGTGGCTCCATGCGACAGCCGCTGCATTCTTCATCCTGCTGGGAGCGATTCAGACGCTAAATCCCAAATAGTGTGTGTGGATTTTCGTTTTTCCCCACCTTCGGTGTGGGGTTGTTAGATTTTTTAAACTCAACTCTTCTCCTCGCCCGGAACTCTTCTCCTCGCCCGGTCTACTCCTACAGCCTCCCTGGAGTGCCCAACCCCAGAGACTGTTGGACTCCCTGGAGTTCCCAACCAGAGACTTTTGGTGGAGTGCCCAACCCCAGACTCTCCCTGGCCCAACCCCAGAGGCTCCCTGGAGTGCCCAACCCCACAGACTCCCTGGAGTGCCCAACCCTTCTCCCTGGAGTGCCCAACCCCAGAGTCTCCCTGGAGTGCCCAACCCCAATTGCAAGCAAAACTAAGAAAGCGTATTTGAATCAATGTGTCTTTGTTTGAACATCCTATTTGTGCTCTTTCCTTCTCACGAGGAGCAAGGTGGGGATGTTCGAAGTAAGATAACTTTCAGGCAGGAACCCGACTCTCAGAATCCAGACTCCTGCAGCTCTTCAACCCTGAACCCAAGGATGGGAGTGTTCGTTGCCGCCTTCGGTGCTTCTGGGGCGTTCAATAGTCTCAGTATTTTCTTCGTCAACCTCTTGAAGTCAGGGAATGGTTTGTTGCAAACTCAACTGCAGACAAATGGATCAATGCTCCGTGCATTGTAATCTGAGCTCATGGTTGACATGATGGTTCCGACACGGGCCTTTGACCAATCAGGCTTGGAAGTATCCTGCTTGGTGGGCTTTGTCACTTGGATTGCAAAAAGCTGCACAATACCTCGCTCCTGAGCCCTGGGACCGTGGTCCCTTGGGAGTCCAAGTTTTCCACAGTCAAGGTTGCAAGGCCCCCAGAGTCCCAGCCAATCTAGCTCCAGCACAGATCTTCTTGTACGTCGGGAGGGAACCTTGAACCGCATCAGAATTTGAGTCATGCTGGTACACTCGCAACCTGGGAATTTCAGCACAATGTTTTCATCCCATGGGCCAGGCCAGTCAAGGTTTCCCCTACCAAATCTTTATGCCTCGAGCTTCTCCCATCTGCACTGCTGAAGCCTATGATTAAGCCTTGATGGGTTTTCCTGATGGGTTTTCGTCCTTGCAATGTACGCCAACAAGAAATGCTTAGAGAGAGAGCATGAGGTTAAGGTTAAGGAGATGTATAGAAACTTAGGGTTTAGGGTTTAGTGCTTGCCACTCCCTCATCATGTCTGGGGTTCAGCAGAGCAAACGCATGAAGCTAAGCTGAGGACCCTTGGCCCTAGCCTGATCTTGATGCTAGCTCAAGCTCCACATAATCTCAGCCGCACATGGCCGCATCTCCTTTTCTTCCTGGTGCCGGTTATGATGTGCCCATGTCATGATGCAGCAAAATTTTCTTTTCAATGCAAGAAGAGCGTGCCTTGGTAGCCAGCAGCAAAAACGTCGGTCTTTCTTGAGCAAACTGAACTTACAGTTGTCCGATGTTGTCCGGTTTCTGGGCCCTCAAAAGATGGTTTTGATCCTGGGCAGGTTTGTTGAAAATGTCCAGCAGACGCTAGTGGCAGTGGCTAATGCGGATGGCTCTGCTGCGAAATGGGGCACGCGGACAGAGACAGAGGAAGACGTCAAAGGCTCATACCGCTGCTTAGACTGCAGTGGAAAGAGCGTTGGCCTTGCAAGGTTTCTTGCATCCCGTGATTCTGGATATATAGACGTTAAGTCTTCCTGCTTAACTTCAGGCTGGAAACACTCAACAACTTAGTAGAGCATACAGAGATGGTTGCCTCCACAGCGCATGCGCTGATGGAGGCGCCTATCAACCATCCTTTTCTTTTGGGGGCTCCGTATACCCTGAGCCTGAAAAACACATCTCAGGGACACTGAGCACGGAGATGTGTCAACGTGAAATGGCAGTTCAGATTCGTACCTGGGCATAGAAGGTCATTCCAAAGCTTGCTCTTTGTAGAGCTGCAAGCTCCCAGGCATCTGAGTGAGTGGAAGGAAAAGGAAGACGTGCCGTTAATTCAACCCAAATCAGAGTTGCTGCTGCTTCTCAGGTATATGGAGTCGCCGGAGTTTCCTTGCCATATACCTGGCATCTTGACTGTCAATATGAAAACTACGATTTGAGGCTACCCTCTCTCCTGCAAGTCTGTGGGTATTTTTCTAGAGTATGGGTCTTTGGATTCTCGTTGAATGAGAGGCATAGAACGCTACTTTGCTTTGATGCTAGATATTTGACGACCTCATTTGACTGCAGCAGACGAGGTTGCAAACTTCTCGATAGGTCATTTTCTGCTCCAGCGCGGATGTCATTTCCAGGCATCTTGGTTTCTCGCGCAGATGCAGCTCGGAGCAAGCATGTAGGAGGAGGTGCAAGGATCAACGAAACAACAAATGGGCCGAACCATGAAAACAGGGGTCGTGGTTCGCCGGAGGCTGCTTAGTTATTCAGGCACCTATGCTAGGACCTTCAGACGGGCGCTTAGCAATAACATGCCATCAGCTTGGTACCAGGGATCCTACTCTTTCGGATCCATTTGTTTTGGAGGGATCCTGAGAAGAAGAAGGATCCCATCACATCACATTCGTTCACTCTTGGGCGGCTGTAAGGACATTTGGTTTTCTGCTGTTCCACCTCGTTCTGTCCGATGGCTATTCCCTTTGGCTTGCCAGTGGGTCCCGCAAAGCTTCAACGCTGTGAACGGCTTTAGGCGAGAATGCCACGCCTACTTCTGAACACACAACACTCCTACTGGTGAGGGCCGGTGTGGAGAAGAAAGAGAGAGGCGGCACCCGCTTCTGAGGGCGAAAACGGCCTTCCCAATATCGCTCATTGCACAATACGAGCTTCAATGAGCGTTGGACGCGCGAAAAGCGCGAGACTGTTCACAGCATCATTGCAAAAAATATGTGTCTGCATCAATGATTCGGACCGCCGGCAAGTGTGGGCAGTTGTAGGCATCCATTCAACGTTGACTTTTAGGCCCATGCTCAAAGCAGAACGCTTGTGCATCAGTGGCGTGGCCTCTGGAGTGGAAGCCTCTGATCACACAACCCCCTCATTTGCAAGGTTGGAGGGATCATGGCATTGCCGGCATTCCCGCGCCACGAGGTGGCTCAAGATACTGGCCACCGAAGCTAGGACTGTTGGCGTTTCGTGAAGTTTCTCATGATTTGAATTTCGCAGGACGATATCCAACAGATGCTTGACAAAACATGTCAGACTTTGAACCAGAAACTTTGAAACAGCAGCCGCAACTGCCTCATCAGCGCGACGTGACTCTTTGAGAACATCGCTGTACGCGTCACTTGCTTGAGCCGAGCCAAAATGGCCCCGACACTCCGATGGCAAGCCTCGGAAACACGAGCACGCCATTGAGCTCGATTCGAGGTTTGCCAACGTCTAGTTTGAGCTAAACAGCTTGCCTTCCTGCAACATGGTTCATGGACCTGCACAACGCAAAGTCAAGGTTGCACGCCGGAACCCAGTTCACGTGGCGATCGCGCGACAAGCCACATGAAGCGAGTTCCGATTCCTTTGCCTCCCGCAGTTGGCTGATTGTGGCTCGCTGCTGTCGCCTTGTCCTTGTGTCCTCTCTCCACTTAGCCGATCGCGCTTTAGTTCTCGGCCATTCTAGGCTTAGGTTGTTCTGAGCCTGCGGAGCTTGCCAACCGTGCATGCTTCCCACCTTTGAGCTCTTTTACGTGGCGGCTTGCGGCTTTCGCTCTCCGTCGGCGTGGCACATCTTGGTGCCTTTGCTTACGTAACCCCTATGAGGTGCTCAAGTGCTTGATTTCGGATTTTCCTTCTTGTACACGTCAGAGGATTGGCCTTCTGCCATGTGCTCTGAGTTCAATTAGTAGTCTGCAAGTCTTCCTTCGGACTTCACGGGCACGCTTGTGCGTTATTTCACTTCCAGCGCAGGGGCGTCGATACAGTTGCCATCGTGGCTGTGGACCCGCGCTCCACTCCAGCATCTCTTTGGCAGTCAGATGGTCATCCGGCTTTGTCGAGTCATTCGGCTGATAGCGCCCGCCTAAAGGTTCTGCAGTTGACATGCGAGTCACACTTCGTGCCATTCTTGAAGATGCCTCAGAGAGATGGCACAACATGCCACGGTGGCCATTGATTTTGTGGCCAGATGCTGCAAGACAGCAACAAACTCTGTCTGGCTCATACACACTATTGGGACATTGGTTTGGCCTTGAAGGCCTTCTGGCCACTGGAGAAAACCTCAGCGTAAAAAGTCCTACCACTAGCAAAGGCTCGAGGCCTTCTGTTTCAGCCTTGGGCACGTAGTCTTGAGAGTGTGTTCATGCCACTAGGAAGGGTTGGATCGCGAGAGCAAGACCAAGGTGAGTTTGCAATGGAGCCATGTGGTTGATTTGACCGCAGCTTGTTTTGCCATGCTGTGTCATGTTGCAGTAGGTCGCTGCATGTGTCTATGACCAGTTCGTTCAATGTCTCGAGGGGTGACGTGGGTAAGATTCTTGTGCATGAAGTACTGTGATCATTGCTCAGAGAACAAATGCCTGGTGACGAGAGCCATGAAATCGCAAACTGCAAGGTGGGCGAAGTTCAAGCCAGCCCTTTTGCATGCTTCCAGTACGACAGCTAAACGGTGGCAGTTCTGCATAGCCCTTGCGCTTTCGTGCTTGCTGTCGGCACAACCTTTGCAACGGCTGCATAATTGAAGTCAGGCATCGGTGTCAACCTTCGACCCCAAATGGTGCACCTGCCATGTTGGAGTTTTGCATGCCTGCAGCTGATATTGCAACATGAATGCCGAATGCCATTGAATGTGTGTTGATCGTTAGGTGGATATGTTTGATGCCTTGAGCGTGTGTGTGAGTGTGAGTGTGTGTTCCGTGAGTCTCAGAGTTGGCATCCGGGTTGTTTGCATGCAAGTTTGATAGGAGCTACATTCGCATCCCGAGCAAATCGTTCACGATTGACCGCTCTCGGTTCCGTTCTCAGCATCGTTTCGAGATTTACCTTGCGCATCAGCTGCGTGGCTTCATGAATACTTTTGTCAGTCGGGCCCTGCGATACCTCACTGAACTTGCGGGGGCTTGCATTTGCAGACGTCTGACGAACCGAGGTCTTGAACGTTACTATTTATACACAGAATTACATAGAGTTGCGTTGCTTGGAGGTGGTCATGCTTTGGTTCCTCTGATGGGCCTTGACCTTGGAACGGCTGCGGTCCTTTCTTCGTGCATGAACTGCGCATGTTGGAGAAGATGGCGGAGCATTGCTGCATTTAGGCCACGAACATACAATGGCACGCAACCCTTTTGTTTTCAGCACTCGGATTGATGAAAATTCTTCGCAGACACCAAGCTCTGAAACACACTTCTCCACCCTGTTGTTCAACAGGAGGCTTGCTCATGGTTGCTGCTCAGGACGTGCTGGGATGGATTCACGGCGTGGTAGCGACCCAAGTTCTGCAATATTGGGGTTTCCGACATTAGGGGTACCTGATTGGGATCCCTACTATAGAAAAGAATCCTACTATTTGGGGGGACTATCTTAGGGTTCCCCTTATTTTCGCACACCCGCTTATCTGTATGAGCGTAAGTGTGCAGTTGTGTTGAGCGGGCGGCTGGCCAGCGAAGGTTACGGTCGCGCATGCTGCCTCGGCTTGATTCTGAGGAGGAGCCCTGAACCCTAAACCCTAAACCCTAAACCCTAAACCCTAACCCTAAACCCTAAACCCTAAACCCTAAACCCTAAACCCTAAACCCTAAACCCTAAGCCCTAAGCCCTAAGCCCTAAGCCGCAAGCAGCACTGACCAGCGGCAAAGTCGAGTTGTGGTGTCGTCAGTTTTTTGGGTCTGAGAGTCTTGAGAGGAGCGGCTCTACTTCGAGAAAACCGTGGCCTTCCTAAGGTCTGCTCAGCTCTCAGAAGCGATGACCCTGAGCCCTAACGTATCTACACAGGCAGTTTTCAACCCAGCTCGGTTCTTTTCTTTGCGCAACGCGCTTCGAAAGGCTTCAGAAGATTCGATCGCTCTTTCGCTCTCGTGAGGTGCCCCTTTTCAAGCGACAGCTTCCCAGCTGCGAGCTTCCGAAGCTTGCACGAGACCTGAAGCGAAAGACTTGGAGGCTCGTTTTCTTTTGGTTCGCACTTTTTGTTTGTGGGGACGATCTTGCGAATTAGAGTTTTTTGGGGTTCCAGAGTGCTGACATAGTGCTCGCCTTGCTCTGTGACCCACAGCGGACAAGGCACAAACCAATGTTGTTTGAAGCGGGAGGCTGCTGTAACCTTAGCCGCCCAAGCGAGCCTGCCGACCTTCGCTCGCAGAACGAAGGAGAAGATGTCTCCTGCTTTCTGCCAGGCCAGGCGACAAGCTTGTGAATCAGGGCGAGGCAGGTGGTTGTATGCTGGGAAGCCGAATGCCTCGTGCAAATGGCGTCAAGCCAGAACTATTGACGCGCCTGATCGCATACCTGAGCGGTCTACAATGTCGCTTGGAATAAGTGGTGGGTGCCATAGGCCAGAGAAGTATGAGAAGTATGGGCTACGACACCAATGGAAGAGACTCACTGCGAGCAGGTTGGTAGGGCTTTCTACCTCGTCGAGTCGGGAGTAGCAAGCGTGATCGTGGCAGACGAGGATGGCAAGGACCAAGCCCTTTCTGCATGGCCTCAAGTGGGGAGCAGCGCGTTAAGAACATTTAAGAACAACGTCACCGAGGGAGTGGGCTAGTCTACCCAGGGTGCTCGTATTATGGGCAACTAGATACAGTATGCTTGGCCAAGTCGACTTCTTGCAAGGAGCACGTGCGCGCAACGCTTATCGCGGGTGACTATTTCGGAGGCGCGGGCGTTCAAGCAGGTTGAGCTTGAAGGTTTCAACTGCAGCATCCAGCTCATGCTTTGTCGATGTTGCCTTTGCTGAGTTGCCTTTGCTGAGTTGCTTCGGTGATTCCTGTGCTAACCACTACGGACCCCATCAGCCCAATTCATCTGAGGCCACACGCTTGTAGCCGAGAGGCCCAATGTCGGCCGCTGCCTCGGAAAGGTGTTCGTACGTTCGTCTCAAAGCTTGGGGAGCAAGGTAAAAAAAAAAATTCAACGCAACATTTCTGTTGATTTACGTTCTGGTGTCCTCAAGCCTTTCTTTGCATCGAATTATCTAGTCCTAAGGTACAGTGGTGGCTCAAGGTCCGGAGCAGTTGGTCACGCTGTCCATGTCGCGCCGGGTACCGCCGCCAGAATTTCCTGATGTAGATCCTGTTGATGGAGCTTGCTGCTGTGTACAGCGTGGATGGACCTTCGCTTTGGTTTCCACTCTCTCAGCTTTTAACATCTGTACGCCGAAGATGTTTTGCTGCTTTGGTACTGTACCTATTGGACCCACTTACAAGTCTTACAAGCGTTAACAAAAATGCGACCGGCCTCTTCAGCATTTGGGTTTGTTGTTCCGGGGGAAAGATGCCAGGTGTTCGAGGACTCTGGCTTGAAGGAGACCTTGTTGAGCCCTGCACTTGCAGTGTGAGTAGCGCTCGAACCCGCATGCTGAAGAAGTGTCAAGAGCCCAGGGTGTTGACAACACCCGATGATTACTTGAAGTCTGCAGAGGACAAGCTGTGCTTTCCGAAGAGACCAGCTCTCTACTTCGATCGCGGCCAGCCACGAGTTGCCGCCTCAAGGGGGAGAGCCAACATGCGAGCAATGGAATGTGTACGTCAGACGCGTCGTCTCTTCTCCGGGTGCATATGCTCGGCTTGAGTATCGACTGTTTTCGCCATCTGGCAGCCTAGCACAGTCCAGCACTACTGCTGCGAAGTGTCTCTTGGGCAGGATCATTCCTTTGACGCCCTGGTATCCTGTCAGTTGGACCAGCATGAGCAGGCTTTGTGATGCATCGTATAGTCTTACACCCTGGGTCCCATCATCAGCAGAACCTTGGCGAGACTGCAGACGCTCATCCGCTCATGTGCAGTCGGTGTCAGTATTGATGTTGCTGGTGCCATCCGTGTCCGAAGCCAGCACGACGCCAGGCCCTTGTGTTGGAGGCCTTGAAGAACAACGTGAACTTGCGGGCCTTGCACAAAGCCACTCGTCAGCAATGGCGTAGTAGCTGACGGTGGTTTGTGTTACTGTTTGGCTTGTGGCTTGGTATGTTAAGTCCTTCGCGGCAGCTTGTTGCTTACTGCTGCGAGATTGTTGATTGTTGAATAATGCTCTTCAGCTGCGAATGTCGAGATTGTGCATGCTTCCCACCTTTGCAGTACTTTCAGTTCTTGTGTTTCCTTGGCGGTCTCAATTCATACCGGCATTTTGCTGCGCTGTGAGGTTGACAACGAGGTCATGCAGAGCATCGCACGTGCCCAATTCCCAGCACTGAGTGCTGAGCCCGTAGACCTTGTTCATCTCGTTGTACCGTTGGTTTGAGCAAAGGCAGCTCTGATGGAGGTTGTGCTGGGATGTTCTGGGTCGAGCAGGTTTAGTGAAGGAGTGTGACCCGAAGCATCCTGCCTCATCAAGTCAGAACGTGGCTAGATGCTCCTCTCCTCGAACTCGCTCTCGAGGGTGCCGTGCGCCGCTTCGTTCCCAAGGCATGGGGGCTGCTGTGTTCGTTTTATGTTCGGGTCGTTCGCTTTGAGCGGATGATTAAGCACTTGTGGCTCTGCGAATTGAAACGCTCCCCAGCGATTTGCAACACAACATGGCAGGGCACAGTAGTGGCCCAGAGCGGCACGCTGGGCAAGGCCTGCAGACTGGTTAGACAGGTTTGCTGAGCTGAGGGTTGCTGTTCCCTGGCACCAGGAGCCCACCAAGAAAGGCACTTTCCGTTGTCTTTCGTAGATCCGAAGAGACTTGGCGCTTTGCAGGAGTTCTTCATCATCAAGACAGGAAGGTTCCATGCAGTGGCCTGGATCCTGGAAGTGAGTCCCTATTAGTCCCTATGTAGTCCTTGGACCGGAGGGTGGGACTCTTTAAGCCTTTAAGCCGAGGCAGAGACGGACACCTCTGACGGCCAAAAGTCTGCGGAGGTTTGACTCGCTTGGGCAATCGCAAGTTTATCCGCGAAGAGACACTAGCTTGTGCTTGCGCTCCTGGTTGGTTGTGTGCCTGAAGACTCTGTGTAGGCCACCGTGGCCCAGCTGACGATGTCGGACCGGAGCTTTGTGTCTTTGTGGCCATGCCTTCCGAGATTATTATTTGCCTTTTGGCCAGCTTTGTCTCATGTTCCGCGATTCCGCAGGAGCGCCTCAAGCGAAAGCAAACCTTTCTGAAGAGCTTGTGCCTGGGCTGCAATGGCATCTGACCCATTGCCTTGAGAGCACGTGCTGATAACGAAGGCGTTCTGCAGTAGGGTAGGCCAGGGCCGAAACCGAATTTCGTGAGCTGCCACTACTATCCCCCACAGCAATCCTGTTTTCGATTCCTTTGGCGGCTACTTGCTTGTTCTCAGTCGGGAGTCGGGAATGGGGAATGTAGCTGGCCGTAGCCGTAGCTCACCAGGTGCCGACACAAAGGGTCCAATCCGTCGCGGCCCAAGAAGCCGCAACGGACTCGAGTGGCAGGGCTCTGCGGAAGTTGCAGGCACCTTCGAGCATCCTTGTCATTTTAAGTCATCTTATGGTGCTTGAAGCAGAGGTTATTCAACCACTCGCAGTCAGTTCGCGTGCCTGGTCCGAGGGGCCCGAAGGTCCGTTGCACCCTTTGCCTAGCCTGCATGGGCTGTGTGAGACATGCAAGAGTGATGAGCTTTGGTAGGAGACTGTTGTGCGTCTTGGGTTTGACATGTTTTGCGTTTGTTTTGTGCGTCGTGGACAGAGCTCATGGCGGACACTCCAGTAGGTTTGAATTTTGCAGGCAATGGCCGACTGGGCGGATGAGCTTAACAACATGTCCGGCCAACGTGGCCCCTCCTCTGCCTGGGAGCCTAGACAAGGAGACTGGCCACAGAGGTGTAAAGCATGGTGCCCTAGAGCAGCATCCAGGCTGGATTCAGGCATAGGATCCATAGCATTGGCTGCCTCGAATGGACACAAAGCAAAGTATGTTGGCCATGGTCAGACCACTATGTGGAGTTGTCGGGAAGTGGCCTGCCACAGGGTGCTTCCACGCTGACAATGACGTCGCCTTGTAGTGAGACGACTAGGCCAGATGGCCCGACGCTGGTTGAAACCCTAAACCCTAAAAACCCTAAACCCTAAGCCCTAAACCCTAAACCCTAAACCCTAAACCCTAAACCCTAAACCAGTCATGGGTTGGTCCATCATTCTTGTCAAGGAGTTCCAGCTTGGTGCCCGGGACACCTCTCAGCACGGTGCCTTCCATGAAGGATTTCGGTACTGCAGCAAACTTCCAGGCAAGAACGTGCTTCTTAATGCTGCTTATGCCTCTTGGAACGGAGCTGCACTTGCAGTAACTTGTTTTATGTGCGAGGTGGGTGACAAGGTTACCATGTTGCCTGACGAAGAGCCTGCGGCAATCCTGTCATGCTTGCATACATACCCCGCGTTTTTGGGATGATTCGTGATGAGCATATGACATTGCCCGACACAACCAACAAGCCGCTCCTGACAAACGTTTAGACCCAAACTGCAGGCCTTGGGTCACTCCTGGCTGAGTGTAAAAAAGGATCCAAGTTTGTGTGTGCAAGCCCTGTGTGTCTGAGAAGATTCCCAAACCCTCATAGCAATTTAAGCAACAACCCTAAACCCCAAACCCCAAACCCTAAATCCTAAACCCTAAACCCAAAACCCAACACCCTGAACCCCAAACCCTTTCATGTCGTATCATGAAAGAAGCAAGCGCGTGACAGGATGACAGAGACGACCCGGTGGGTACCGCTGTGGTCTCAGAGGGGCCGTTGCATGGCTCCTTCTCTTGATGCCTCGTTCCCCCTTTTTCTGGCAGTCCGAGTCCGTACTAGGGATCATAATAGGGAGTCCTTAGTAGGGATTATAGAATAGGGGGTACGATAATCCCTATGACGGACTGCTAGTATGTCAGTCGACTGCGAGCGCCACCAGCGAGATCCATTGTTTCTTTTTCTGGGCTTGATGAGGTCATGGACTCCGGGCGCGATGGAGCAGGTCGATCCTGGGTCAAGGCCGCCCGATGAGTCCCGTGATCTTGTGCCTTGTTGAGCAAACTGGGTGACAGGGATAGGAATGATAGGATGTGACAGTCACGGAGAGTGACTGATGGTCATAGTCACGGGATGCTTGGCCGCAGCCTGCCGGTGCAGGTTGCCTTTGACGCCCGAGACATGTCTGGTGAGTGGGTGGCAGGGGGCACCCAGCACACATTGGCAACTGACAGAGGGTTTGGTTTTTGTTTCAAGCTTCTTGGGATCGGTCCGAACAGTAGCGAAGAGCCACGTGCCATGATGTGTGACAGCCCCGTGCTTGCTTGCCTTCACCCAAATGCTGCGTCTGATCTTCTTTGGCTCGAAGTTTTTTCCCACTTTGGCTTTTTATCATCCTCGTGCTATCGCGAATATTGCCCTGCACTCAAAGGATCTGCATGATGGCACACTGCAACACTGAGATGGCTGAGTTGGTAACGCTCCTGTGAGGCAGTCATGCCGAACCAGCGCTCAGCGCGCCTGTTGGTGCCACACCCAACTCTGCCTCTGCAGTGGCCAAGGAATTTGATTCATGTGGTGGCATTGCACCCTCAGTCATCTCCTGAGGTGGCGGCAGCTCTGGCTGTATTCGCAGCTTCAGCTCTGACCTTCGTGGCGCCGCAAGCGCCGCCGGCACGGGGGACGCTGTCCGGAGTGCAGATGCAGGTCGGGATCTGGAACTAGCGTAGTGGATGGTGAAAACATAGCACGATCAAGGCAGGTTATTTGGTTGCCCTGTTCATTTCAGCCTGCAGGCAGGTGGGGAGTACACCGGTTTCGTGCCAGACTTGCAGTGTCTTGGCATGTTTTGGTTGAGCAGGAGACCCTCATAACCGGTATTGCAAGTTTCGAGAGTGTGGCGTGCCGGTCTCCAGAATGATTCAGAATGATGTAGTACCGAGGCGCCGTCAGCTGATGAACTTCGTGCTGGTGACCACGGCCGCCATCCCGGTGCTGGTGGCCCTTGGCTGCTACTTGTGGTACTTCGTGCCACCCGTGGCCGGCGGTGGCAGCGGTGCGACGCTGGCTGGTGACCAGGACGGCAACCCCATCACCCTGGATAGCTGGGTGAAGAGCCACAAGGAGAACGATCGCGAGTTGGTCTTGGGCCTCAAGGGCGAGCCCTTCTACCTCATCTCCACGGCGGACAACATCAAGGACTTCGCCCTGCTGTCCGTGTGCACGCACCTTGGCTGCGTCGTGCCCTGGAACAAGGGTGCCAACAAGTTCTGCTGCCCCTGCCACGGCTCGCAGTACGATGAGAACGGCAAGGTGGTGCGAGGCCCCGCCCCGCTGTCCCTGGCGCTCGCCCACACCACCACCACGGAGGGCAAGATCGCCCTCACCCCGTGGCCTGAGAAGGACTTCCGCACCGACCTGGACCCGTGGTGGAAGGTCTAAGTGAGCCTAGCATGATCAAACACAGAGCTTCCCGCATCCGGCTTGCGCTGAGGAAAATGTTTTTGCAGGTTCTTGCTGCTTGGGTCCCAGATCCGATGGCCCTCCCTCTACACTTGGCAAATGCTTGAAATACTTCCGGCCTTGTTGTATCTGGGAAGGATTCTCGGACCTTGCAGGGGCTCAGTCTGTGCTGAGAGTAAAACCTAGAATCCCTGGAAGCGCAGACATGGCAGCTGCTAGAAGCTGGTTGCTGCCAGCGGCCGTCCCGGGGCAGCATGTTTTGCAGCATGATGAAAAATATTGAAAAATGCAGCACATGATCTTTTGCTTCAGCCGGCCTTGAGAGGTGCTGTTGGCGCTGGGTCTGGCAGCCACGGCCTTCGTGGCGCCCCGCCCGGCGGCGCCAGCTCGCGCTGACACTTTGGCGATGAGGGTGCGCGGTTTGGGTGAAGTTGGGTGAAGTTTGGGTTGGAAGAACCTCTTGTTGGGACAAAGCACGCTCTAGATGGCAAGTGGCCATTTTTTTTTTTGCAGGCTGGCGGCGAGTACACCGGCTTTGTGCCGGACCTGCAGTGCCCAGCTTGGCTCCACATGTTAGTTTCTGCTGCTGTCAATGTCCTACCAGAGGGTTTTCCCGAAGAGAGGAACGAGTCGGTGACTCAAAGTACCCCGTGTTTGCTTGACAAGGCGACGTCAGCTGATGAACTTCGTGCTGGTGACCACGGCCGCCATCCCGGTGCTGGTGGCCCTTGGCTGCTACTTGTGGTACTTCGTGCCACCCGTGGCGGGCGGCGGCAGCGGTGCGACGCTGGCTGGTGACCAGGACGGCAACCCCATCACCCTTGATAGCTGGGTGAAGAGCCACAAGGAGAACGATCGCGAGTTGGTCTTGGGACTCAAGGGCGAGCCCTTCTACCTCATCTCCACGGCGGACAACATCAAGGACTTCGCCCTGCTGTCCGTGTGCACGCACCTTGGCTGCGTCGTGCCCTGGAACAAGGGTGCCAACAAGTTCTGCTGCCCCTGCCACGGCTCGCAGTACGATGAGAACGGCAAGGTGGTGCGAGGCCCCGCCCCGCTGTCCCTGGCGCTCGCGCACACCACCACCACGGAGGGCAAGATCGCCCTCACCCCGTGGCCTGAGAAGGACTTCCGCACCGACCTGGACCCGTGGTGGAAGGTCTAGGCTCAGCCAGGCTGCGAGTAGCTCTGGCAGGTACCAACTTTTTCCTGTTAGCACTGAGGAAACACCTGCCCGAGCAGATGCCTGGAAAAAGCATGTGCCAGCATGGAAGAGGATCTTGGGACACGCACACACACATACACACAGACACACACATACACACATACACACATACACGCATACACACATACACACATACACGCATGCACTCTCACACACTCACACACCCTCACACACTCTCACACACTCTCACACACTCTCACACACTCACACACACATAGACACACGCAGACACACGCAGACACACAGAGACGCACAGACACACAGGCACACACTTACACACTCACACGCTCACACACTCACACGATCACACACTATGACACAATCACTCTCACTCACACACCATCACACAATCACTCTCTCTCTCTCTCTCACTCACACACTTACACACACACAGACACACAGAGACACAGACGCAGACACAGACACAGACACAGACACAGACACACAGACACACTTACACACTTACTTACTTACTTACTTACTTACTTACTTACTTACTTACTTACTTACTTACTTACTTACTTACTTACTTACTTACTTACTTACTTACTTACTTACACACACACACACACACACACACAGACACACACACACACACACACCACACGCACACGCACACGCACACCCACACGCACACGCAGACACACAGACACACAGACACACAGACACACAGACACACAGACACACAGACACACAGACACACAGACACACAGGCACACAGACACACAGACACACAGACACACAGACACACAGACACACAGACACACAGACGCACAGACACACAGACACACAGACCCACAGACACACAGACACGCAGACACACAGACACACAGACACACAGACACACAGACACACATACACACAGACACACAGACACACAGACACACACACATACACACAGACACACAGACACACAGACACACAGACACACAGACACACAGACACACAGACACACAGACACACAGACACACAGACACACAGACACACAGACACACACACACACACACACACACACACACACGCTTGCTGGACTCTTTTTGTGTCGCGGTGGCGTGGCTGCCTGCTTCTTTTATGACTTGCTCAACATCCTCGTCATGTGCAGCTTGCTTGGCTCCGCAATTTTGGGCATTGACAAGCATGGCGAAGCGAGGTGTGCGCGCATTGGTGCCTTGCCCTAACTTTGGCCCCAGGCCTTCCCATGGTACCTCCCAACCTGAACCTGTCATCGCCGCTCTGACTTCTGAGGCTCTTGCAGCGGCAGCCCTGCTGCTATGCTGCGCCCATGCGGCACAAGTGGAGACAGTGAGTCGTACTGTTGTGACATGCTTTCGTTGTCGGGGCAACAGCCGAGCAGCTACCACATGAACCGCATGAACCACATGACTTCGAAGAACCCTGCCATCAGCAGGACGGCCTGAGCTCGGCACAGAATCACAAGTTTACACGTGGATCTAGTAGCTTCTCTTTGAGACGAAGCTGGAGCTGAGGCGCAGCCAGCACCTTCGTGGCCCCCCGCGCTCCACCGCGCAGCAGCGCTGTACAACTGCGTGTAGCTTGCACGCAACTAAGAGAGTCAGAGAGGCCTTATCCAGAGTGGGGTGGCATGCGCCGCCAGCAACATCCGGTTTGGGTCCTAAGGCCGGTGGCGAATACACAGGATTTGTTCCCGACCTTCAGCGACTTGGTCCTAAGTTGGCCGTTAGGGTGACACAGCCTTGTGCCCTCTTGCAGGTCGCGAGTTGTACTACCCGAGGCGCCGTCAGCTGATGAACTTCGTGCTGGTGACCACGGCCGCCATCCCGGTGCTGGTGGCCCTGGGCTGCTACTTGTGGTACTTCGTGCCACCCGTGGCGGGCGGCGGCAGCGGTGCGACGCTGGCTGGTGACCAGGACGGCAACCCCATCACCCTGGATAGCTGGGTGAAGAGCCACAAGGAGAACGATCGCGAGTTGGTCTTGGGCCTCAAGGGCGAGCCCTTCTACCTCATCTCCACGGCGGACAACATCAAGGACTTCGCCCTGCTGTCCGTGTGCACGCACCTTGGCTGCGTCGTGCCCTGGAACAAGGGTGCCAACAAGTTCTGCTGCCCCTGCCACGGCTCGCAGTACGATGAGAACGGCAAGGTGGTGCGAGGCCCCGCCCCGCTGTCCCTGGCGCTCGCCCACACCACCACCACGGAGGGCAAGATCGCCCTGACCCCGTGGCCCGAGAAGGACTTCCGCACCGACCTGGACCCGTGGTGGAAGGTTTAAGCCAGCCCGGTAGATAGTTGAGCACGCAACGCACATACAACTTGTTCACCTGTTGTGCAGGTGCACACGAGTTTGTGTCGAGATAGTGCTGTAACTGAGCAGTGTTTCGACTGACACTCACCACGAACAGTGTGTCAGAGCACAGCTGGACCAGTTCAGCATCTTTAACACAAGAAAAGGGGCGCTTTGGCCAAGCATGTGAAGACGAAGCATATTAAGATTAAGTATACAGTTTAAGCAGAGCTTTCATCCAGGCACCTGAAGTGTTGCGCAGCCCCTTGCTGCACCGCAAGTGGCATCTTCGATTTTCCCAGCCCGGTGGATGCCGGGATCAAGGCTGAGCAGCGGAGCCCCCAAAAAGGCCTCAGATGTGTGAAGCAGCTGCTTGGGCGGCTTGGGCGGCTTGGGTGAACTGGGGCAGCATGGGGTCATGGCCTTGCTGGAGGCGTCTGAAGCATCAAGGGAGGGAATCCCGGCACTGCCAAAGCCATGGCGAATCAACGGCGAGCGATGAGGGCAGTGGCAGCCCGATCGCAGAGTCAGTTCACGAATCTCACAAAAAGCAAAGGATGCAAAGGAATGGCAGTCTTCTATGGCATATTGAGAGATGGCAGTCATGGCAGATCATGCTCCCAGGCTCTCTTGGCAGCAGCTCTGCTGGCTGCTTCTGTGGCCAGCGCCTTCGTGGGTGTGCAGGCCGAGCCTCCCGACTCCCAATGTTAGGAATGTTAGGGGCTAAGCTAAGAAGGCCGATTAGAGAGATGTAGGGAGCTGGGAGGCTGCGAGTGCTGACAGGCCCCCCCGAGCCCAAGAATCCAGACGCAGCTTCGTGCCGGCGGGGAGTACACCGGCCACTCGGTGATGTTTCGGCATGCTGCCCGTGCTACAGAAGGTTCTTGGTCTTTGGTCGGCACCCACTGCAAGTTTGCGCACATACAACTAAGGCTTTGTACCGGATCTGCAGCTGCTTGGCTGTACAGCTTTTCGTCAGCTACAAACTCAGATGAGTGCAGCAGCCTTCCTTCCATCTCTAAAGAGACTGCCAGGCGCCGTCAGCTGATGAACTTCGTGCTGGTGACCACGGCCGCCATCCCGGTGCTGGTGGCCCTGGGCTGCTACTTGTGGTACTTCGTGCCGCCCGTGGCCGGCGGTGGCAGCGGTGCGACGCTGGCTGGTGACCAGGACGGCAACCCCATCACCCTGGATAGCTGGGTGAAGAGCCACAAGGAGAACGATCGCGAGTTGGTCTTGGGCCTCAAGGGCGAGCCCTTCTACCTCATCTCCACGGCGGACAACATCAAGGACTTCGCCCTGCTGTCCGTGTGCACGCACCTTGGCTGCGTCGTGCCCTGGAACAAGGGTGCCAACAAGTTCTGCTGCCCCTGCCACGGCTCGCAGTACGATGAGAACGGCAAGGTGGTGCGAGGCCCCGCCCCGCTGTCCCTGGCGCTCGCCCACACCACCACCACGGAGGGCAAGATCGCCCTGACCCCGTGGCCCGAGAAGGACTTCCGCACCGACCTGGACCCGTGGTGGAAGGTCTAGACATCTTCCCGCAGCACGTGATCGAAAGTGCCCAGAACGTGCTCGATCTTTCCCCTGCACGTTACTGTAGGCACTTCACTCAGCTTCAGGTACATAGAGGTTTGTGTCCGCTTCCGGTTCTGCAAAATGTAGCATCTCCACAGAGGATCTGTGCACACGTGTAGTGAGCGCTAGTTCTTGTATAGATGCAGTGAAGCTGTTCTCAGTTTTCCGATTCTCCGCAGCGAATCGTGCATCCATCGAAGTGCATATTGTGCCCTTCCTCCAAGCAGGTTAGGCTCCTAGTACGAAGAGGCGTGGGGGAATCACCATGTGTTGGTCTCATTGAGCGTTTCACGACGAAGAGGTGCTACAGCACATAAAGCTGGAGGGTGTGAAAAGACAATGCCGTGCCGTCTTCCATTGCCATGAAACTGACGAAATCTGTTTCCTGTATCTGGCATCTGCCAAAGGTTGATCCAGACATGCTGCGCTTGGCGTGCGAGCCAGTTGGGAATCCCAGGGCGCCATATCGTGCCTGCAGAACCGCACCCATTCAGAAGAGTTCTTAAAAGTCCAGCATAAATAGCTTCCAATCACCGCACATCGTAATGATGGCATTGAACTTTGAAACAACAATTTTGAATATCGATGATCATGGAATATCATTTTATGAATTTTGCAGAACTGGTCCAGTTGTAGCTTCATATTGTCATATTGAAAGAGTCTCAGGATGTTGTGGCCGAGCTCGAGCCCGGTGACAGCTTTGGCGAACTGTTCGGCTCTCGAGGGGAGCCCGTGGGGGAGAGTGGCGGAGAGTGGCTCTCCTAAAAGGGTCAAAAGGATTGGGAAAAGGAAAAAAGGGATTCAAAACCCGCAAGATGCATCTCAAGGTCCTTGATCTACAACGCTTTCCGGGAGGCCAAGAGCTGGAAGATCTTGGCATCGTCGCATGAGCCCACATACTCTCTGTGCAAAGCATCCCGCGCCGTGTCCTGTGTGCATGCCGCTCCATGATCCATGCGCAGGCGACCTTCAAAGCAGTGGAAGATTCTCAGGCCGGAAGGGAAGCAGTCTTTGCATGCGATGAGTGTGACGATGGCTCCTGGGAGGTCTACGTGATTTCTCGGAAGCCAGGGTCCTGGGGCAGTGGTCTCCATGGGGTGCGTAGCTGCAACTCGAGAACTTGATCTTCTGCTGAAAGAAAGATTGGCGACGGGGCGACGTAGCAACGGGTATCAAAAGGTAGTGAATCTAGTACATGATGGGACCACCTTGTGAGGCATTTCAAAGCTCACTTCAACCGTCGTGGACCTCGATTCAAGGACATGAGACAATACCGAAGCCCATCGAAAAAAGTGCAACAAGAGACCTCGGTTGACTGCCAGGAGTACTGCGCTCTGCTGGACGAGGCCCGAGTTTGTGCTGCTCCAGAGACATTTACACACATGACTCTTGGGAGATCATCTCTGAAAGTGCCCCTCCGCCCGGCTGAGTGATGTCCATGTGAGCATCAGGTTGATTCGTCTCAGCTTGGCATCCTTCGAAACATCAGCACTCTGCTGCCGTGTCAGGTGCCGGCTCTTTGGCCTCTTCTCCGTGCGGAGCGTTGCTTGACTTATTCGTGCCATCCACACCAGCAGAGAGCTCTCTGACTGCCCTGCAGAATCCTACAGACAGAGGAAAACATAGGCTCATGCTGTGTGACGTGAGTTGCATGTAGCATTTTGGGCTCAGCTTCCTCGTCCGTTCAACTTCGCAAACTCTGCCTTGCAATGGCATTTCCAGCTCTGTGCTTCGCGGGGCTCATGCTCGTATCCGTCACATCCACCACCGCAGCTCCCATGAACATCAGCTGCATTACAGACAACGAAGAGAAATTGTGGGCTTGCGGGGAGGAATGCTTGGACGATGCTGCCCGTGCCTCGTGCGTGACTGGTTGCCTGCAGAAGAAGATCGTGCCACTCTCCTGTGCGCAATGCCTTGGAACAAAGTTTGACTGCGGCGTACAGTACTGCAAATCTGACTGTACCACGTCGAACTCCACCTGTTCGTCTTGTCTTGTGTCCTTGTGCTCGGGATGCAGCGGAGATCTGGACCGGTCGATGCTGAGTTTGCCCTCATCAGCTTTCAAGCTGCTTGCCCGAGCAGGCGAGACAGCCGTGGGGGAGCAACAGTTGAACATCTTGCCGTAATTCGACGGGCGACAACCTCTGCCAACATGCATCAATGACGCAACTGTACAGTTTACCTGCCCGGGTTGCCTGGTACGTGGCATCTGGGCAGTCAAATGCAGTTGACATCCCTTGTAAAGGCTGGGAAAATGTTTAAAGTGTCTAGACGGTTTCTGCCGCACAGGCGTGCGCGCTTGCACCGGTCACAGCTCCACTTGCTTGTACATGCTGCAATGTTGCTGTGCGGGTCTGCGTGCAATGCTAGCCACCCACTGAGAGCCAACAGTCTCAAAACAGCCAACAAGCAGCAGGAGGCTCCATGCTGAGCAAAGTTTTGAAGCACTTCGAGAGCTCTACGCTGCGAGGTTGGGAGCTGGCATGCAACGCCCTGGGCCTCTTCACATTCAGGCGTTGGGATGGCTTGCAAACATCTCCGACTGAAATTGGGCTTGCGGGATTGTGTGGCGGAAGATGAAGGCATGAGGCCATGAGTCATGAGCGTCAAGTGTCGTGGGTGTCATGGTATGTCATGGTTAGATTGCAGACTGGCATTCCTTTTCAAGGTTGCGAGGCTGTAGACTTGGCTAGACAAGCCTGGGAATAGCCTGGCAGCTTGACGTGTGGCAGAGGCCTGGTGAGCGCGTCATCCATCAGGGCATACAGCGCAAGGCTGGAGTGATTCAGTGAAACCTCAGAAAAACCTGTAGAGTTGCAGCGAAATGCCTGACACTTCCCATGATTCCTCTCATGTGTTCGCTTGTCGGGGCGCATCCTGATGCTGCGAGTCGGCACTTTGGTACATCATCTTCTCAGGTAGCTGCGCAGGGGTCCCAGATGGTCCAAGTCACACGAGCTCTCATGTGCAACTTCGTCTGAGCGCATGCTCGGTGGTGGTGACGAGGTTGTGTCAGCCAGCCACACAGCGCTTGGCGAGAAGGACGGGCGTTTGGACGTGGCACGCGGCAACTCAACGAAATCAACGAGTGCCTATCAAGCTCGACAGCATGTCACGCAGAAAAGGCGTTTCGGCAAGCCATGTCCACCAGGAGACTCCCGAGGTGATTTCGGAGCTTCGACGCCCAGGCCGCTCAAAGACTGGAGCACCTTTTTCATCACTAGGAAGGCTCACACAAGGACTCATTCCTTCAAGATCAGCTTCCTCTGAGGCCACTTTGGCGAGCGTTCTCTTCTCCGTGGTGGTGAACATGCCATCCCCATCCCAGAGGCCAAGTCCATTCGTTGTTATGTTCGTGAGTCGCAGGAATGCGTATCTGCATGACGTTTCTTGTCGCTCCCCCACCGCCGTGCTTGCTTCCTTGCCCTAGTCTGTCTCCTTGCCCTAGTCTGTCTGGCCTTGCAGTTGCAGTGTAGCCGTAGACGCGACATGTGGTGTTCCCCTCATGTGCTGACTGCACATTCGCGTTCCGGGCTGGTTCTCGATACTAGCTGCCCGATACGTACAGGCCGGAAACCAGCCTTTGGCACATGACCTTGCCATACCCTGCATGCAGCCAGCTCTACCCAAACACCTCATGAACAGGCATCAACAGGCCTTCATTGGCTAAGTTGGCTTTATGCAGGTTTTGCAACTTTGCCTGCGTTCAACCCAAAAGCATACCCTAACATTCCTCAACCTTCAAGGTGAACGTCGACGCCGGCAAGGAGGGCCTGGTGTGCCAGAACCCGAGAGGTTCAGGGGGGACTGCATGAAGCACGCAACTATGGCAATAGGGACTATGAAAAGACTTCCTTATGTGAAAGTTTTACTGAAGCCCCGAGCCCCGGAAACTTCTTGCCGCGGCACAGCCTTGAGCGGGACAATCGCGCTCTCAGGTCTTGCCTTCGAGGGCCAGGCCCTCCCTTTCTGAGCACACCCGAACGCCGGTTCTCTGCATCAGAGTCTGCGAGACCATGCGAGACCTGTTGGCCGAAGCGTGACTTGTGGCATTGTGGCGGCTTATGGCAAGACCTCTGGTGACTTGGGTGTGGAGGCCATCCGCGCCTTGCTCCAGGAACTCGCCGGCCAGGGAGCTTTTGGAGATGGGGCTGAGGCGCGGGTCTGTGATGGTCCGTGGGTCCACCGCAGTAGTTGAGACGCTGTTGAGACGCCAGTGGTGAGCTGACTCAAGCGGCCAGGCGCTGCTACCCAACGTGAACAGCCTGAGTTCCATGGCCGGCGCCCAAAGAGTCGGTGTGCCGGCAGGCGTCCTTCGTGTAGCCTCATTGTGAAGTTTCTGAGGAGTACGAGCTTGCCAAATTGGGGCGAATGCGCCGTCAGCGTGTCCAGTCAGAGGACTGGGCTTGTGAGAAGCATGGAGAGGCACAGGCTGACGAGGCCACTCACGTTCCGGGCTTCCTCCCAGCAGCTTCCTTAGCCTGTGTGGGAAGGACGTGGACATGGCGAGCCTCAGCAAGGTGGGTGTACAGTCACTCCCACTGCGAAAGCTTGCAGTTACCACGTTCAAGCGGAGCTGCAAGTAGCCTCATCGCCCACCTACAGGTGTGCCACTTGGGCCGTGGTGGTTTTGCCGACGTCTTCTTGATGGAGGATCAGCAGACACAAAAGAGGCATCTAAGAGCACTCTTCGAGCTGATTTCTGATGAGGGGCTTTTGTGCACTCATGCCGCTCATTGCCAGCTCCATTGCCCTGCTTCCGCGTTGCGCATCTCATGCAGGGCTTGCATACGTCGGTTAAACATTGAATTCACGATTTCGTTCAGGTATGCTTTGAAGTGCATCTCAAAGGCGGGCGGGGGGAAGCGGTATTTGTTGAAAGATGAGCTTCACAACCACATTGGTCTAGACAGTTCCATGTAACAGCCGAGTTCCATGTCGGAGGGTTCTGTAGCCTCTGCTTTGCACAGCTCCTGAGCTACGGAAGGGCCATGTGGAGAAGAACGATGCCGTTCGACAGGCGGGGGCAGATCTCGCATCGTTCCAGCACGAAAGTCCGCTTCAAGCACTGGCAGCGATTCAAGCACCGCCTTTCAAAAGCACGTGCTTTTCAAGCACTAGAGTGGTTCAAGCACTGGCAGTTTAAGCACGAACCCTGCTTCAAGCAGTCGCGATTCAAGCGCAGCTGATTCAAGCAATTGCGATTCGAACACAAAACCTGATTCAAGCACTGGAGATTCAAGCACCCATCCCGATCAGGGTTTTGCGCATGGGTCAGGTTCTTGATGCGAATTTCGACTGTTCAGGGCTTTAAGGCTGAGATTTTCTGGGACTTATCGCTTCTAGGATTCAAAATGGTATGCCATGGCGGTGTGTATTTGTGATGCTTGCATGTTTGAAAGTGGCGCATGTGTTGGCACGCGGAAGACCCACGAGTCTGGCAACTTGAGAAGATCGCGGTGCGCGAATCGGTCTGTCCAATGCGCGAATCGGCTCCTTACCGAGTATGGGTTCCACATCGATTTTCCTGCATCACCACATCACGATGCAGTGTTGTGAGTGACGTGAGCGACGTGAGTTGAGTCGTGAGAGTAGTGTGCGCAAGAGGCCAGAGGCGCTTCAGGAGGACTTGTAGCTTTTTGTGTGATGCCGCTGCCACTGTTGCACAGGTGTGCTGGGAGCGAGAGATGCTCATGATGGCCTCTTCTGGCTCGCTTGGGGTGTCTGCACTGTCCGAATCACTTAGCGACCGAAAATCTGAAAGTTGCGTTTATCAGGTCGACAGCCCCTTTGTCATCCGGTTGGTCCGCACGCACAAGGACGCCTGGCCTTCCGCGTGGGATTCGCAACTTCCATGTCCTCGGTAGAAGCAGCTTGATAATATGTCCCAGCTTTTAGTTAGTTAAGTACTTGACATTCTTAGGTGGTGCATCTCCCTAGTTCATGCAGCCATGACGACGTGTGCAGCCACAGCGGCGTTGATCTGATGCGAAGGATGCGGAGTTCTTGTACATCTTGCTGGAGGCCGTTTGCTTGTGATTCGGGACTGCTTTCGACTTCAAGAACTACAAGCTTGTCGTGAGGTGTGCTTGGGCCTGAGCAGATTTTCTGATGGCTTGTCCTGCTTGTTCTGGCCAGGCAGCCCTGGGAGGAACGCTTTACCAGGCACGGAGCCGCCATCTGTCTCTACAAATTTGGTTTCGGCGTCACGAAACACTTTGTTGGGTCTCAGCCGTCCAGTGTCCAGCTATCGCTGCGTGTCACTGGGGCTTTAGGATCGATGCTACTTTATGCCGTGTTTATACCTATTCAAAATATTAAATGCCCGTTTGCCACCCGGGCAAGCGGCTTCGTTGCCATTCTGTTTTGGGTCTGCCTGCCAGTTGATGAGACAGAAGCCGGAGGCCCGCTCTGAGATGTTTGTCGTACGTGGCATGCCCCTGGATCCATCGATCAAGGGAGGGAGGGCGTATGTGGCTTTGTGTGAGGTGCAGTTGCTGTGTGCAGGTGTTCTGTGATGATGAGCCGAAGGGCAGTTCATCAGCCTTCTATGCTGGGGGCCCGAAGCTGCACTGCACCTTATGGTGGCATCTTTGTGCATGGTCGGTCTCTCGATCTGATTGATGCCGAGGTTGCGTGCATCATCGCTGCCCTCGAGCACTTGCACGACAGGTACCCTTGACGTGTCCCATCAAACTTCCAGCGAACGAAAATATAGAAGGAAGCTGGGAGAGCTTGCGGACTTCGCGTTCGCGTGTGCATGTGCATTCGTGTCTCAAAGATGCACTGTGGAGGCGAATCGTGTACCGAGACCTGAAGCCGGAGAACGCCTCCCTGTCCGGAAGTTTTATGCCCAGGGCAAGAGGACGCATTCTTGAAGCTCCCAAACTGTGGTCGCTTTTTTCATTGGCCTTTGACCATTTCAGAGCCTGATGCCAGGTGATGCTCGATGAGCGCGGCTATGCCAAGCTTTGCGACATGGGGTGAGCTCCCGAGCTCCAGCGAACCTCTCTCCCCAAATTCTTGGGCATCCCCACCCCCAAGCACTCCTCCTTGAAATCCGGCTGAAGACCCCGGCAAAGTACCTCGAACCCCGGTTCAGGGACCTGGGTTCGGCGGTGCCTCCTGGGAGGTTTGCCCGCTTCGTCATCTCCAAGACGAATACCCTCGCAGGAACACCGGAGTACATGGCCCCGGAGGCTCAGGGGAGGGCTTAGAGGCTTAGAGGTTAGGGTTTAGGGAAGTTCTTAGACATGTACGAATGTCTAGATATTTATATGTGTGGGCCCCCTCCCACCACAAGACCAACCTCCCATAAATTTTACAAGATACCTACATTTCTCCATATAGCGGTAAATAAGACCTCCGGAAACGCCGTAACTATCGTTACTTTTACTATCTTCAATACTTGGGGGTGCTTATGACTACACAAACATGTTCTACTCAAAGGCGGCCTTACTTGGCTAACCGGATTTGAAAGGCTTCACTTGTATGATTTTGAAGTGCTCTTAAATTGTCGATGTCGTATGGCTAGAGACACACACACTCACACTTATGTTTTAAGGGGGTTAGCATATATGTATGTATATATATATATATATTTATATGCATATATATATATAAATAATACATACTATATACATATATATATATGTGTATACATACATACATCAAACATACACATATATCAGACCTTGGGGCACTTCGAAGCCAAGAGTGCGGGCAGTCGACGGGCAGGTGATCGACTTTCCTCATGCTCACGACGTAACTTGTGATTGGCCACAACCTCGGCAAAGTGCAGGATTGCGACCCTAAGTCTTGTTGCTGGCTTCAAGGACCCTGCTCCATGATGTGGCGAGAGTGGGTTTGGGGGGTTTGGTGGCTTAGGCTGTCGGGTCCCCCAGTATGAATCTCCTCGAGACTCTGTGATCCCAGGTGGTCGCTGGGTGTCTTAACCTTCGAGCTGAATGCTGGTCAGCCTCCTTGGGAGGCTCACGAAAGCCGTGCATGCGGTACGGGTTGACGGCTGAGGGGCTGCATGCGGTGCGGGTTGACGGCTGAGGGGCTTGTTGCAAGAAGCTCTGCAGACTGGGCTCGTCTTGAGCACTTTTCTCCTCATCAATGGTCAATAGTTGTCAGTCTTTCAGAAAGCTCAGAAGCCAGAAGCTGTGCTACAGGACGAGGGCGTCGCCGACCTCTTCGGGACCTTGGATTTTGTTAGGTATGCTCCATCTCCGTAGACGTTTATGATTCCTCGGCTGTATTCTCGCGGGCTGTTGGCTGGCATGGGCACCCGGCGCCGGAACTCGAGATTGAAGGTGTCGCATTGTGCATCTAATATGCCACGTCTGCAGCAGCAGCAGCATCGTGTCTGCTGGCAGGAAATTGTTGGCGATCCGACGCAGCCAGGACACTCGCAGTGAGGGATGGCCTGGACGCCTTTTGAACATCAAGAGTGAGATCTGTCCTTTTTGCCAGCCCTGCACTATCCTCAAGGCCCCTGGTTAAGGAGGACGCACTGCCTGTGTGCTTGTCGTGGGCCCCTGTGGTGTCGGATGTGCCTGGAGAGCAAGATCTACCTTCCCATGTCTTCATGCCACGCGAAGGGGGGCACACACGGGCAACTCAGATGAGGTAAGTCCAGGTGCCAGAGAGCCAGTTTACAAATGTGATAGGTGAAGCATTCGTGCAAGAACAATTCTGAAGGTGTGTTTGTCGGTAGCATATGGTGTACGGATTCGAATGTGCGAGGCATAAGAAAGAGAGCACGTGATGCACACGAAAGATGAGATTAGTTGATAGACGCCAAGAAAGCTGGAACCATCACTCCATTCATTCTCAGTTTGCTTCGGTTGCGTGAGGAGAAGGGTGATCCACGGTATCCCTTCAGCTGCCTGGCCCTTGACTGCAGCAACAGCGTGGGTGTGAGGTTCAGAAGCTCAGATGCTCTGGAGCCAGGCCCACTTCCCGTCCGGAACTTCATCTCCAAGCTTTTGTGCCTTGGCCGTAATCCGACCATCGAAGTTTTGACTTCGTTGCATCAAGCATCTGTAACGTTCCTTAATGGTTTTGATGTAGCATTTCCAGAAGGATGCCCGATGAAACCTTGGAGGGAAGGAGCAGCCAAGCAGATGGTAGCTGACATCGGCATGCATCATCTAATCATCTCAGAAGGATCTCGAAAGACAGAGGGCTCAACTGGAAAGAGTGCTTGGCCCGTACAAGCCCGATTGACATAGACGAGATGGGGCGGGATGCGTGCCGATTCTGTAAGGGTCGAAGTCCCAATTGAGAGGGCACCTGCAAGCGTTGAGGGCACTGCACAGCACCGTTCGAGTCGGAAGACGTCGGTGAGCCGACGTGACTTGAATGGAGCTTCTTGAAGCAGAGAAGAGCCCTGCCCCTTGACCTAGAATCCAGCAGAAGTATGTGCCTTGACAGCGTCAGTCGCTTCTCGGTCCCCTTGAGGCAGAAGCTCCCGCATCGCCTCGGTGCCCGAAAGGGTGCTCGGGAACTGCGGCTGGGGCCTCGATTGGGCTTCCCCAGCTTCTCTCAGCTTTCTTCAACACGACAGCTCGCTCTTGAGCATCTCACATCGAGCCATGAAAAATGGTGCGATGCCAAGGGAACACGTCTTTTTCAAGAAGTTGTCCTTCGACTTCCAGGTCCCCCCCGACACTCTGAGGGTTGCTGCACTTGTGTAGGCCTTGAATGCGACCCAGGTGTCCCAATATCATCCGAAGCCCCTGAATTACGGCACAAGCTCGAGACCAAAAATGGTGTCCATTATGAAGTGAAGGCATCTTCTCTGACTAAGGGGTAGTACGGGCTTCCTGGGAAATCCCAAGCAGCAACACCCTCAAACCTTACAACCCTAACAAGACCTCGAACCCCAAAGGGCCCAACGCCTTGAAAGGCCCTAAAGTCCTAAAGCCCCAAAGCCCCCCAAAGCCTAGCACCCAAAACCTGGGCCAGGCTTTGAAAGCCCAGACTCTGCCACCGCCTATCACACGACCTTTCCAGCAGAGGTGCGGCAGTCACAGACCTCACAGCACATGCCGTTGTGGGCATATGTTAGTGCATATGTAGATATATATATATATACACACACACACACTTTTGGGCATATGTATATGTATATGCATATGCATATGTATATGTATATGTAGATGTACATGTACGTGTACATGTACATGTACATGCGTATGTAAGTACATTATGCATGTGTATTGTGCATATGCGTAGATGTGTGCACGTACGTACACACGTCTGCCTGTCTGTCTGTCTGTATGTCTGTATGTCTGAATGAATGTATGTATGTATTTATGTTTAGATGGTAGTTCTATATCAATATCTACATATACATATTCGTGTTGATATGTGTATATGAATTTTGAGAATGGGCCCTATTACATGTGCGTGTTTTTCTTACGGAGGTATGGTTTTCTTCGGGTTTTTTGCATTCTGAGCAGATGCGACATATGTTTCTTCCGCCCCCCCCCCGCCCCAGACCCATTTATATTGTTTAAATATCTTTGAAATCCCTGAAAATTCTCAAAAACACAATCTGGGACCCTTCCCATTTAATTTTAACGCTACGCGACCCGCCTCGGCCCGGCCCAGCGCATCCGCGTGAGCATGGTGATGCTGCAGCGCCCAAGTCGCTGGACCCCAAGCAATAAGGGTTGGGTTTCGGGTTTAGGGTTCCGGGTTTATGGTTTATGGTTTGGGGTTTAGGGTTGAGGGTTAGTTTAGGGTTGAGGGCCTAGGGCTCAAGGTTCACGGTTTGGGGGTTGGGTTTTTGGGTTTAGGGTTCAAGGTTCCTCAAGCAAAAGCGGGGGCGCAGGGGCGGGGGGGGCGGGGCAGGGGGGGGGCCAGGGGGGGGCGGCGGGGTGGCAGAAATGTGTTCTGACAACCTAATACACCTTCGGCCCGAGGCCTCGGCGGATTTTTCAGGGATTTTCAAGATTTACAGGCTTTTAAATTCTTTAAAACCGCTAAAAATTCAATCCGGGCCGCTTCCCCTTCGACTTGTTTTTAAAGAAATTTTCAAAAAAAACAATGGGTTCGGGGGACCAGGGGCCCTCCCCATTTAACAAATGAAAGGCCTGTCTGCTAAGATTTTCAAACTATTCAAAAAATTAACTGGGGAGGGAGGGCCCCTGGCCCACCGGACCCATAATTCTTTTTGAAAGTCCTGAAAATCCTTATAGAGTCTTAAAAACATTCAATGGGCTGGGGCCCGGGTTTCTTGTAAGGATTTCAATCATTCTTCACGGCCTCTAAATCTTTAAAGCCCGTAACAAGATTAAATGGGAAGGGGCCCGGATTCACGTTTTTCTAAGGATTTGAAGGATCTTGTATGTATGTATGTATGTATGTATGTATGTATGTATGTATGTATGTATGTATGTAGG